AATTTTGAAGAGACCAATTTACTCCGTGAGCGTAGAGGAATCTACCGTGAAGACGCAACTTCTGACGTTTTTGGTCGTCATATATTACAGGAGATGACACAAAATGCCCTCACTGTCACGCGATGCTATACAAAGAAGAACAATCAACAAATCAATCTTTTTCTTTTTGCTGCAGTAATGGAAAAGTAAAAGTGGATATTGTGGACATGCCTACTACACTTATGCAGAAGCTTTTAACAGGTGATCATCCTTGCCGTACCGAATTCAGAAAGAATATCCGAATGTATAATAACGCGTTCGCGTTCACCTCATTTGGAGCAGACCATGAAGATGAGATATTCAGTGGATCGAATCAAGGATCGTTCACATTTAGAATTCAGGGAGGAACATACCATCGATCTGCATCATTAACAGCTACTGAAGGAAGAAAACCTGTCTTTGCACAGGTTTATTTTAGTGATCCTAATCTACGTATACAACAGCATATAGATTTTAACGAAGTGTTAGACCGTCAATTAGTATCACCGTTGAATCGAATGATGGATGAAGTATCTCCGTATGCAAATTTGTTTGATAGCGCAAGAAAGAGACTTTCTACAGACATAGTGGATGGGACGCCGGTTGTTAAAGACCTTTATGTTTATGTGCGAGGTAACCCAGGACTGGGTCGACAATATGATTTACCAATGGCGGATGAAGTTGCAGCATATATTGCAGATGCAACGATTCCTGATGAAAGTACCCGAGGCAGTAGAGAAGTGGTTATCTTTTCGACAGAAAATGGATTTCCTAAGAAAATGAATGATTGCCATCGCTCTTACGACTCCTTACATTTTGCATTAATGTTTCCAAGTGGCGAGGATGGATGGAATACAGAGATAGAATTGAACTTGGGTGATGAGGCTATTCGACAAAATCTAGAGAGAGATGAACAAAGTTTAAGTTCTAACAGGCTGACACAAAAGAAAGTATCGTTGAATCAGTTTTATCAACATCGCTTACAAGTGAGACCGGGGGAAACAATGACCTGTCATTTTGGCCGTCTTTTTCATTTGTACATAGTCGATATGTATTGTAAGATAGAGGGACGACGATTGTATTATTTACGTACAAATCAAAGTACGCTACGTTCAGAGCTTTATTCTGGATTAGCCGATATGCAAGTTGGTGGAGATATGAGTAGAGAATCGATCGGTAAAAGGGTCATATTGCCTTCCAGTCATACTGGCTCACCAAGGGCCTTGCACCAAATGCAACAAGATGCTATGGCTGTCGTTAGAGCTTTGGGGAAACCTGATTTATTTGTTACGATAACCTGCAACCCAAACTGGAAAGAAATTACGGATGAGTTACTACCTGGTGAGGTCCCTTCGGATCGCCCAGATTTAATTTGTCGAGTTTTCGACTTGAAACTTAAAGAGATATTTGCAGATATCAAAGACAAAATGATATTAGGAAAAGTTAAGGGCTTAATTCATGTCATTGAGTATCAAAAACGTGGTTTACCTCACGCTCACGTTGTTATTATTCTGGCTGAGTGCTCTAAGCTTCGAACAGCTCAAGATATCGATAAGTATATCTCGGCTGAAATCCCTGATCCCGCCCGTTTTCCTAAGGCTTATAAAACTATCACAAAGCACATGATGCATACACCATGCAGTATATCTTTAAATGATTCACATGGCAAGGTTCGCATGTGTAGAGATAATAAGGAAAAAATGTGCAGTAAGCACTTTCCTAAAGACATCCAACCCCACACTGTCATCGATGAAAAGGGTTTTGCAAAGTACAAAAGACGCACCACCAATCTCTTTGTTTTGTTTCAAAATGGATATCATGCTGATAATCGTTGGGTTGTTCCTCACAATCTGTATCTTGCTGTCAAGTATAATACTCATATCAATGTCGAATATTGTGCAGGCAATCAAGCAAATAAATATCTTTTTAAATATATTTATAAAGGCTCTGATCGCGCACAAATTGCAGTAATGCCTGCTCAAACACCGCCTGTCACTTCCACAACTGAACTACCAGCTGCTATTTCTGTTAATGATGATGATGATTTGGACGAAATATCAAATTGGTTAAGTGTTCGATATGTATCTACGATTGAAGCATGTTGGCGTATCATGGGAAAACGCACCCATTCATGTCAACCAGCTATCAAAAGATTAGCTGTACATTTACAAAATCAGCAAAATGTGACCTTCAGTGAGGGTGCTAACAATAGTGAAATTCAGCGAGCAATGGATAGAGATACTACTTTGACAGCCTATTTTAAACTAAATGCAACTGATGCTGATGCTCGGTCTGTATTTTACAACGATATTCCGGCCCACTATATCCAAGATCCCAAAACACATTTATGGAAAAAACGTCAAAATAATCAAAAATTTACGCAAATCGGAAGAATGTATTTTATATCTGCTACTGACATCGAACGTTATTGTTTAAGGCTTCTTCTTCTCCACGTTAAGGGTGCCACTAGCTTTGATGAGTTAAAGACGACTGCCACTTTTGATGATGACGGTATCCAGTCCACAGGTACCAGAACATGGCCAACCTTTCGAGAAGCTGCCCAAGCACTCAATTTGTTAGAAGATGGTAAAGAATGGGATAGAGCAATGACTGAGGCGTTTATGTTGTGCAATAGTTCAGTGAAAATCAGAGAATTATTTGCAATCCTTTTAATATTCAACTTTGTTCAAAATTACAAAGAGATTTGGGATAATCATAAGGATAAACTATCAGCTGATTTTGAATATACCTATCGTCAAGGTCTTCCTGGCAGAGGTCTTGATTTGCAAGGTTATCCAGTGGACTTAAGTGAACGGGATTACAAAATTATTTTAAATCAGACAATTGTGGATATTGCTCATAGGTTGTTGAAAAATCAAAAAGATATCGCAAATTTTCCAGAGTTACCTCAGCCCGATCCATCATCCTACAATGCGTATATGGCAAGAACTCAAAGCTTTTATGACCATGAAATTGGACAATATGATGCTGATGATTTGTTAGTCAACGTGGCTGTTTATGAAGGCGACGAGGGTGGAAGTTTAAACGCTGAGCAACGCGTCATATACGACGAGATTGTTTCGGCCATCTATGATAACCCTGATACAACCCCAGCCACCTTTAGAAGTTCTTTTTTCTTCATTGATGGTCCAGGTGGTACAGGAAAAACGTTTTTATACAATGCCTTACTTGCAAAGGTACGATCAAATGGTGAAATTGCTCTTGTGTGTGCATCTTCCGGAATTGCTGCCACCCTGCTTCCTGGTGGTCGAACGGCACATTCACTTTTTCAAATTCCAATTGATATCGACGAATCTTCTGTATGTAACATCAAGTTACAAGACATTAGTGCTCAAGTAATTAGTGACTCTAAGTTGATTATTTGGGACGAAGCTCCGATGATGAACAAAATGACATTTGAATGTGTCAGTCGTCTCCTGCAAGAGATTACGGGAAACTTCCAGCTTCCTTTTGGTGGTAAGGTTGTTGTTCTTGGTGGTGATTTCAGACAGACACTCCCAATCATTAAGTTTGGTTCACGCTCGGACGTAATTGATGCATGTGTCATAAACTCTGTTCTTTTTAGAGACTGTCGAGTTTTGCGGCTCAAGCGGAATATGAGGCTCACTGGAGATTCGATTCTTGACAATGATACCCCTTTCCAAGATTATCTTTTAGAAGTAGGTGAAGGTCGTTGTCAAGTTTATGATCAGTATGTATCCATACCAGCCTCAATTGTAACGTACGCAGAGTCGATCGAGGATGTTGTAAATGACGTTTTTGGTGACTCACTTTCAGCTGGAGACTGTTACAAGAACAGAGAATTCATTGTTAGTAAAGCTATTCTTGCGGCGCATAATTCTACAGTTGATGAAATCAATGAGTTGGCGACAAAAAAATTACCAGGTATATCCATGGTATATTTATCAGATGACTCGATTGAAGAGACACAAAATTCAAGCGCAACCAATTTCCCTGTCGAATCGTTGAATGCTGTAAAACCTTCAGGAATGCCACCTCATAAGTTGGTTCTTAAAAGATTCCAGCCAATCATGTGTTTAAGAAACATCAACCCTGCTGAAGGTCTTTGCAATGGTACAAGGTTAATCTGTAGAAACTTCACAAGAAATATAATAGAAGCTGAAATTGCTGTTGGTGATAGAGCAGGTCTGATTGTTTTGATTCCCAGAATCATATTAATATCTTCAGATAATGCTAACTTACCATTTACCCTCCGTCGACGTCAATTTCCTGTGCAACCTGCATTTGGAATGACTATCAACAAATCGCAAGGTCAAACTCTTTCTTTCGCTGCAATCTGCCTTATTAAACCCGTTTTCACGCACGGTCAACTTTATGTTGCTTTATCTCGAGTTCGTGACCCTGCTAACCTCAAGATAGTCTTACTGAAAGAGCCGCCATTATCAACACTCACAGACAACGTTGTATTTAACGAAGTTTTAACTCGAACACAAAATTAAACATAAAATAATCATTATCAATAAAATCTATTTTTATCCCATTTATAAGCATTGAGTGGCGTCGGTGGCCCGCTGCAGGCGCGAGATCGCCCCCAGCAGGAACGTAGGTTATTTTTACCGTAGCGAAGCGAAGGTCAAAAAATTACCGAAGTGGGCTGGGGCCGCGATCTCGTTAGAAATAATAAATTAAGCATGTATTTTAGTTATTTAAATTGTGAAGCTTGATAGTGTGTCATCATCAATAAGAAATCAAAACAATACCAGAGAATGAACTGCACACATTTTGCAATCATGAGTAATCATGTCCAAACAATTTATTATGCTCAAATAAGAAATAAAACCAAGTTGTTCATTATGAATAAAATTAGCTGTTTCAATAAGTAGCTCTTGGTTGTTATGTAATGTACTTGTAAATACGTATTTATACTTTGCATATTTTAATATATGAAAAGCAATCTGTCAATGTCAGACATTTTTATTTAATAAATGTAGTCATATTCAAATTGTTGCTAAAGCGCTTTATTCATGCTTGTTTCTCTGGCTGCTCAGCATCCACACTCTTTTTAGGTGGTCTCCCTTTTCCTCTCTTTACATCACTTAAATTTTTTGCAAAAGCTGGTAATTGGGAACTTTCGCTTTGTTTTCTTGGCCTGCCCGGTTTTCTTTTAATTTGCTGTTGTGCCACATCATTGATTTCGTTTTGTAGCTGTAGTGGAGAGTTAATTTTTGCTCGTTTACCCTGTAAGTGGATACGGTTAAGACAACTTTGATGTATACATTTGTTTGTATACCAACCACTGTATTCAACTGTTTTTCTGCATCATTCGGAGAATCCATTCTTTTTTTGGATGGGTTAGTTTGAGAGGAATCTTAATTTGTAAATACTGCGTTAAAAAGTGGGACTTATTTTTTGTTCAAACAAGACTTAAAGTTTACCGTAAGAATTATGGTCACTATTCATGGAGTCTGAAGATAACATCCGGCGTATTGAACCAAATGAGATTTCTGATTCATTAGACGACATAGATGTATTCCTTTTTCTAAAAAATGGATGCACTGAGCTTTCGGATATACTGTTTAATTCGGTTGAACGAATAGGTCCTATATCCGCCGATGATGATATCAATAGATGATTCACGTTGTCTTGGATATGAGATGTTTTCCCATAATCACGAGCTTTTCCTTTGTCACGCGACTTGAGACTTTCCAAGTTATTTGTTAAGTGTGGTACATATATATCATCGGTATTTACTGGTTGAATTATTCTTCTAGACTTCGGTTTTGTTGATTGGCTGTCAGATCGAGAGGCAGCTAATAAAAAAATTTATAATCATGTTTCAATTTTTTTTTCATAACTGCACGTTTACCTTCACTAGACTCCTCTGTTGCGGTGTTTTTATTTGTACTTTGAGCATGTTCTTTTGACACAGTGTTACTGGACTGTTGAACTATTTCCTTTTTCAATTTCTTCTACATATCTATGTATTCTATCTAAGTCTTCGTCAATTTCGTTTCCATCTTCGTCAAAAATAACTTGGTCAGTTTGTTTGATTTCTTCGTCAACAGATGTTACTGTATTGCTCTTTTTAGTTGGATAAAAAAAAGATTTAGGAGTTAGTGAAAATTCTATTCCAGGGTTAATGAAATACGCCATATTAAGCAAATTAACTTACGTCTTTTTTGTTTTCTGTAATTTTAAATCCGTCGTCATCGTCACTAGAATCTGAAAATCGTCTACTTGATCTGTAATATTCTGCCGCTGCTGCTTCTGCTTCCGACTCAGGATCATACTCTTCCTCAGCGTCTTCCATTTGACTACGATTATTATGACGGGTACAGTGCATCTATTTTACAATGAACAATTTTTGGCTCCGATTTTTCAAAAAAAATAAAAACTCTATCTCCTCGATGAATTCAATAGGTATCCAAAATCCGGCTCTATTACATTCTTTATTAGAGAGTTCTCCACAAACTAATAGAGCCGGAATTTTTTTTTCACACAAAATTTTTTACAGATGGCAAAACAAAATTGGCCATTTACAGTGGGGAGACCCAAAGATGTCCGGGAGGTGTTTTACAGTGCAAAAATTCATAAAAATCCAACGGATATATCCCGGTTAAACATTTTCCCGCGATAAATTAGATTTCTCTGTCAAAAAATATGAAAATCACCAGTCTAAAAATCCGACTTTTAAGTTCTGAAAATGTCCGTTTTAACGAAAATTGTTCATTGTAAAATAGATGCACTGTAGGCGGTAAGACGTCGGGATCTTGAATTTCTTGATCATCCGCAAGATTTGTAGGTTGTCCATTATCTGATAGAGTGTCCATACGTTCTATTAATGTTATAAATATTAATAATTACCCATGTTACATCTACGTTTTTTTTTCTGAAAATAAAAATAGTAATAATACCCAAGTCATTATTGACAGCAAAGGTAGATTCGAAAAATTCAGGACCGATGTCAAAGTTTTGCACGGCGGAAAGATTAAGCAGAAAGTAGCCTTCTTTTACACCCTCACTTAATTGTGTAGGACCAACTTCCGGATGCACCATACGTTTTAAACTATTACAAACTAGTGGGACGCATGGAATTATAGACAGTCATAGCAATTCCATATGAAATTTTTCTTCAACAACCCTACCAAGAAATGCAGCACCAGCTGTTTGCTGTAGCATTGTGCCGGTTGCAGATATTATGATTGGTTGCTTTTTATTTACCAAACTATCAAGCGTCCAGGTGGGTTCGTAATCAGTAAAGGCCTTCCTTACCAACTCCTTGTCCGCAATAATTTTAACACTGTAGCGTCTGTTAAAACAAAAGTATATCGTTAGCCACTTCGAGTAGTTTTTTTCTAGCAATGTTTGCATACGCTGAATATGCCTCATATAACAGAAAGTAAACTGTATTGCTGTCGCTATCGAGTTCTAATGCATGAGGGAATAATAATCCAATAAATGTTGAAACAATAGATTGCATTATGCCAACTTAAAAAACTACAAAAAGGAATATGTTTTCTAAAATCGAACATCTGCATATAATTTAAGATTGGGTGGTACAAGCAATTAACACAAATTCAGGTACAAGCTATTGTATCAGGATTAATGCATCCAGACAAGTAGCGATTTAATATAACATGCCACATTTAAAAATCACACGATATATGCAACCAAAAAATTACAAAGTCTGTATGTACCAATTTAAATTCCATACAGATTCTCCCACTTATCAGTATGTTCAGTATGTTCAGTATCTTGGGCTTAGTTAGCTGTTAAATTTTTTGGTTTTATTGTACAATGTGCAATGATAGAAAAAGTTACTCTTTATTCCAAAAGATTGACGTTAATATGTTCATACTTAATATGCCCAAGTTCTCATATTAAATCGTATTCTCCTTCAAAAAAATCTAATTCAATAAAAAAATTATAGACTACCAAAAATTTGATTTACATACAATGTTACACACACCAGAGTACAGATAAGGGTTTCTTCACACAGTAATTTTATTGACTCCATAAAACGTTTGGATCAAGGATTGCTAAAAATAAGTTCTAGTTGTTGCCTTTATAAGTTCAACAATCCAAATATACTTCTTAAGAAGTTGTCGTGAAAAAAAAAAGAGTTACTTTAAAAAGGCAAAAGAATTTTAAAGATTTTAAGACTATACTTGCATATGCCGTTTGTACATTTTGTGCCTGTGTGAATATTTCGAAGTGACATTGACTTTTGGTATTATTAGCTCTTCAAATAAAAACAAGATATTATAGCACTATCTTGTGAGACAAACTTTTTTTTTATTATAGGCAATGATGTTAGTATGCCGTACGTTGCAATATTCAAAATCGCTCATATTTGCTGTCTAAAAATACTCAGGGGTAAGCACACATTTCTGTGTCAAATATTACTATGTGTACATTGAAAGAGTTTCGATTCCAATTTTTTAAGAGCCAATGTTTAATTGAAGTGTCAGAAGTACAAGTATCTATATTGAAACATTCACACGGTATGCTATCTCTTAAAATGATAAATTCTGATTGGTTTGTAATACTTCATACAAAAGATCATATGATGGATTAATAATATGATAGATTTTTTAATTAAGGTAATGTCACTACTGTACTGAAGTTTTAAGATAGGATATTTATCGTAAGAGTGGCTTGTGATTCTGCGATTCTCGTGGATATCTCCGATTCTTAATTATTCATGCTTAATTTTCGACAACATTTGCGATTCCCGTGTAACAGAAAGAGGTATAAAACCTTTTGCATTCTACACAATTATCATGCACAATTAATTTATTATTAACAAAATGCTTTTGGGAGAACTCAGCAATTCAAGTATTACCATGGCCCCCATGTTCCGCATCACGTCTAGACATGTGTCTATGGAAGCCAAGGCTGTCGACTCGGGTGTCAATGTCAAGTTGTTTACCTCAAACCCAGTTTTTCAGTATTACTTTTTGAGATTTTGTTCTGTTGGGGCAAAGCACTATATCACTGGTAATTTTCAGTCATATCAATTCCAAAAATTTGAAGTAACACTTCTTTTATTAAAAGGACCTTTGAATATCACTGCTTTCACTTTTGATGACTCTAACAGAGCATTTTGTAGTGTCAAATTGAATGTCCATAACATCAGACCTTTGGCCATTACCGACGAAGAGGGAAACATCATTCCCACAGACGCAACAAGAATCAGACTTCGTGATATTGAGTCGTTACCCTTGACGAAGTTCAAATATCTGGTTCACAAGTATGTGTGGTAAAATATCAGCAATGATAAGATTGTTTTTGGCAATACCTCAGAGAAGGGTACACACAATTTGGACTCTTTCGCCAAGGCTCTGTCGACCATGCATGACGCTTTAGGTACGCAAATATATGTTCTATTCGCTTATTATGAGAAGTAATACTCACATTTATTTATTTTATCAAATAGTGAACAAGAAACTTATCGTTGGTGGATTTAATCCAGTTTCAACGACCGAAAACATTTCTCGTGCTGAAACCAATGCCTATGGTAGGCCTGTACGCAGGACCACACAGACCGTCTACTCTTACAATCTTGAAGTTAAGAGAACTGATTGGAGTGATCCAGCCTTCACTCTTCAGAATCTTCCGAACGAAAATCTTCCTTTCCCTGTTTCCACCTTTTTGAATAGAGATGCCATGGATTGTTAACTTTGCAGTCTTTACAATAAAGTTTTGCATGAATCGCACATGATGTTACTTATAAAATCTAATTATACAAGTGATTGATAAACAAAAACGTGCAATATGTAAATATACGTTTACTGTAATACTATTAGTAGTGCAGCATGTAACATTTTGGATAACATTGAACAGTATATAAATGCACTACCACAAAATAAAATCTTTCTTCATTAATTAACAAATTGTTTTAAAACATGTTCTTCTCATTCCGTGTTGGTGATAGAAATCTTTCTAGTTTTTCCAAAGTACAGCAAAAGCAAATCAATGACTTTCAAAAGTTTATTAATGAAAAACCCAATGGTTTCTGCTGTGTATGTATGAAGGTTTTATATCCAGAAGAAGAAAAGTTTCGTTTTATCAGAGAGCCCGATGCTTTACCCTGTGTTGACTGGAATTTGCAACCAAAAATGTGTCCCTCCAATGACACCAGGTATATGGTTTGTGTTACTCATTTCAAAACTGAAGAAGAAAAGTTCATCAAGTACACGTATCCAGGTTGGTTAATAAAATTACGGATGCATTCATAGGACTAATTTGTAACCAAATTTAATTAGGCGAAACTCTCCCTCAAACCAAAGACTTAAACTACAGAGAAAAGTTCGTATTGTCCCCTATAAAACTGATGTCTCAAATAACAAGAAAAACAACATTGTACAACGGTCGAATTGGTCATTATGAGCTTAAGGGTTCCGTTTATAACACAAATAACTTTGAATTTGCCGATATGGCCTACGGTGGTACTCTCAGTCTTTTTTTTCAACGTGGTGATCCAGCCACTATTAATAAAATCAAGGTCACTGCTGCTTATGAGGCTCTCCAAAAGGTTAATCCTCTTATTGCTCGTTATAGTATGCCCAAGCTTATGTACCCTTTGGTCAATTACCATGTCTATGAGAACAGCAAATTTATTGGTGCTACTGATGGATGGAGAAACAATGCACTCTTTGCAAAAGATGATACAAACCCCCAAGCTACTGATGTAGAGTTTAAAGATCTGATTATCGGAGAAGATAGCGTTGGAAAATATGTGAGGTACTCACATCCAAGTTTGATTGCTTTGCTGTTCCCAGATCTTTTTCCCCATTCTAAAGGTCACTATTCTATGGTTCCATCAAATGTACCTGAATTTGAGAACTTGACTGGAATTTATGGTATTCCGGAAAATCGTGGTGGTGTAGCTGGCACTACATTAAATGGTGAAACACTAGCCAGCTTTGCTAAAAGTCGTTTAATGTTAAAAGATCGTCGATTTGCAATGGATCCATCTTTTCTCTTTTTTATGCTTGATTCCATAGAGAAAAAAAATATTGCTTCCGCCAATAGGTTCGTCGTATCTACAAAAGGCAGAGGAAATTTGAAAAAAAGAGACATTGTAGACAGTGTTACTAAACAGCTCAACAAGAATATTGTGTCAACGGTGTTGCGGCCAATAATAATGTGGCTTGTTGTTACACAGGATAGGATCTTTCCTATAAATACGCTTGCTTTTTTTCATTTTTTAATAAAGATTCTTTAGTTTTGTCTTCACCTAAACTTGGGATGTATCTTGTAATTGATACTAGTAGTATTTCCTCCGCTTTTTGTTGCTGTTTGTTGTCTATTGTAAATTATACAATCACATCATCTTCTTACATAAACCCGTCGTAAACTCTTTTCTCTTTAACATCTAAGAACTATATTCTCTTCTCATCTCTCACTGTATTATTATCGATTTGCATTTTATTGTCTTATCCATATATTTTATCGTCTAAGATCACTACAGAAATACTCTTAATAAATAATAAAACTAAGTTGACAACTAAAAGTCTAGTGCTCACTATCACAATTGTTATATAATAATAATTGTCCATTTTTAAATCTAAATCCGTACTAGCGCTATATCAACGGTCCCCCCCCCCCAAATTCGTTCATCCTATGCGTACAAGCGAAAAAATTTCTTGGACTTGCAATGTATTTTTGAAAACCTTGGTTCACCACAACTTTTTTTGACTTTCTCATGTGACGACAAGAGCAGCGATTTCAAAGGTTTAGGTGATGCACAAAATCCTTGGGAAGATCCAATTTTGTTTTCTCTTCATTTTAAAAGAAAATGGCAGAAACTTTTTCAGAAGCACATTCTTAAAGACTTTGCTGATCAAATCGGAGGTATCCAGGAGTATAGTTGGGTCATGGAGATACAAGTCAGAGGTAGTCCTCACATTCACTGTGTACGTTGGACTGTAAAAAACGTTCAAGAGCTTATCAATCTCAACATGGTTCATACTGTTGTGATCGAGCTTATATACAGATATAACTCCATCATCAATTCTTTCTTTCTTATTTGATAACCTTTCTATAAATCATTATTGCATTACTCTTTAAATCAAATACATGCTATTACACTCTATTTACTACGCATTGATTACTCATCAACATATAGAAAACAATAGTCATACATTTATTCCAAATAATACAATCCAATGATATGATCGCTCGTCAATAACAAGATTCTCGAAGGTACCATGAGATGCTCGATCTTTAATTTACAATACGCCTATTGTATATTTGACAGGTTTCACTTTAATGATTGATATTTAGCCAGGCCTGAATATGTATATAAAGAACCCAATTTATTGTATAATAAAGACTTTAGTTTATTTTTGCAGTTTGATAATTTTACTTCGTCAAATTTCTTTATTTTTATTCTTAATTCGTAGCTTTATCTCTCGAATTTCTCACATACTTGGTTTCCATCCGGCACGTCTTTTGATGACCCTTTGTTACACGGACTTGTAAACAGACTTCAGATCCACAAGTGTAATCTCAAGTAAGTGAACCCAAACTGATTTAAATGTACGATAATTAATTTTTTATGGCCACTTTTAGTTATTGCAAACGAGGTGACCCATTGAGGAAGTGTCGTTTTGGATTTCCCAAGCCATACGCTCCTGAGACTGAAATGGATGCTGATCATCGTTGCACTTATAGGCGTGATGTTGGTGATGGAATGGTGAATAACTACAATCCGTATCTTTTGGCCACTTTTCGAACTAGCATGGACATTCAGTATAACGATGGTCCTCAAGCTGTACGATATCTAGCCAAGTATCTTGCCAAAGATGATTATGAAGCCAAGGTTTTATTGAAAATTTTTCAACAAAAAAATTCTGTGTATTATAAGAAAACGTCCTTTGTGTCTGAAAAAGATCACTATACAACGAGAATTGTTGGCTCAGTTGAGGCGGCATATGATGTGATGGGGTGGCATAAACATAGGAATTCAAGAGGCGTTATTTTTTTAAACACCAATCTCGTAACTCAAGATACAAGACGAATTAAAAGTGATATCAAGGATTTGGATGAAAACACTACCGAAATATACATGCGAACTCACTTTGGTCAATTTCGACTCATCGTTTTGTGACGAAGAAACTAATTTTTTTTTTTTTTTTTTTTTTTAGAAATCTATGAAAAGAGATCCGGTGCAAAAGTTGTTAAATTTCCTGATTTTTTTTGTTTCTATACCAGGGCTGCTGGTACCAACGATGATTCTGATGAAAGACCTGAGGTTCTAGCAGATGAAATTGATCACGTTGCCACCGATTTCCATGATAGCGATTTACCTAAAATTGTTTATTCGGGTAAAGATGAATATGTTTTAAAACGTGGTAAACGGCTCTTCTGGCGAACATTCAACCAAAGTGAAATGAACGGTAAAAATTTTTACTATCAGCAAATTGTCTTGAAATATCCAATTTTCAATACGACATTTGAAAAGCTTAAGGAGCCTTTTGGCACATGGCGAGGTAATTAATTGTAATCTTTTAAATTATCTTTTGAGCTAAAATTTTTATCCGTACTCAGATTTTTATGAGCACCTGGTAAATCTTGAAGTTGGGGGTATTACTTTAAGTAGATATGTAAATATTCAAAATCTTAACGACGTTGCCGATGTAGAACGAGGACTTCAAGTTTACAGAGACGAACTTCGGGTTATGTTGAGTAGTGCAAAAGGAGATCAGAAGAGCCTGTACAATCAGTTAATCAGAGAAATAAAAATTAATTCTGCTGCTTTTGTTTCTGGTGCTGCTGGTACTTGAAAATCGTATGTTCTTCGTATGCTAGAAAGATACTTCCGCTTGAAAGGGTATAAGGTTTGTCAGAAATAAAATATCTGTCAAGCTTTTTTAGTTAATAAATCCCATTAAAAATAGGGCTTCAAATTAGCTCTAACCGGTGTAGCCGCTCATAATATCACAGGTCTCACCCTGCATCGTTTTTTTGGCATTACCAACAAGTCAATGGTACCAAATTATCAGTCACTGGATCACTATGTCAAGTTATATCCAAAGTTATTGCTTTTGGTAGATGAATACTCCATGATCAGTTCAAAGATGTTAGATTCCATAAATGAAGCACTTATAAAGTCAACTCAACGATCTTCTATAATGGGTGGTGTCAAGACAATTTTTTTTGGTGATATAGCTCAACTTTTACCTGTTCAAAAACATGAAGGAACAATGTGGCAGTCAGAAATTTATAATTCCGTCAACAGATACAATTTAGCTGACCCTATCCGCCAAAAAGAAATCCGGTTTATGGAAATCTTAGATAAAGTTCGATTATACAATTTTGACCAATCAGTCATTGAATGTATCAACGAAAGAACCATCTTAAAATCCAATTTACCAATGTATTGTTTGCGCCTGTATACAACCAGAAATAGAGTAAGAAATGCAAACGAAAAAGATTACGCTGAATTTCCGGGTGAAGGCTGCGCCATTGAATCCCACGATAGATATATTGGAAACAAAGGTACAGCATCTCCAGCATTGAAAGATACACGGTTACTACAGTTTCTCTATTTAAAAATGTTGATATGCCAATCATGTTAATTCAAAACTTAAACACTGCGCATGGTTGGGTCAACGGTACAATCGCTACTATCGAATTTATCGAAGGTGATAATATCTGCTTAAAAAAAAAAAATCCGAAATTCAGATGGTTTAGAAGAAGAGAAAATTTACTGGATCCAACGAATCACAAGACAAGTACCTGGTACCAGCTACACCCGATCCCAATTTCCGATTGTACCTGACTTTGCGTCAACAATCCACAAATCTGAAAGTGCCACCATTGATTGCGTTGGTATTCATCTGGATGACATGCTCACCCATGGTCAGCTGTATGTTGCAATGTCTCGAGTTCCGAAAATGGAAGAATTATATTTTTTTGGAGCCGATTTACCTATATGTATCAAAAGAAGATACGGGTGTGAAGCAGATGCAGTTGAAATTATTAGAAAAAGAAGAAAACCCGTATAGCAAATATGCTCACGCTACTCTGATGCATACATTTTTAATTCAAACATATAACAAGTATACTTTAACCAAACACTATCAATATCTTTTAAAATAAAAACCATATCATAATATCAAGGCTTGAGCGGCGCACGTCAGATTAGCCTATTTCCTTTTGTGGACCCCATTTACCCTTTCTAGGATCCCCGTTAGGGGGTCCTTTAGCTTACCGTCCCGGGAGGGACGGCGAGGATTAGCATTGATTGGCCAAAATAATGTAAAACATGAAATTGCGTTAATTATTAAATTCTTAGTCATAAGAGCTTAATGTATAAAGTAGTGTAATCAACAATTGAATACCTCATAATAAAGATTTTAAAGATCCAGTGCTATTTTTCAAGAACGGACATTATAATAACAATAACAAGAACGTGAAAAAAAACAGATCAAAGCACATTTAATAAAATTCACTACCATGCAGGACGGATTTTTTTATTGTTTTGTTAAAACCTTTAACAGAAATGACTAAACACAACGAACTTGTTAACCTTATAACTAACTTAAAAGAACAGAATAGCCAGGTTTTACAACTAAAACGAGAGCTAAAAACCAAAGTGGAGGCACTTGAAGCAAAGGTGGACTCATTGGCTGGCGCAAATGATATTTTGAACGCAAGTCTTTCCGAGTGTATAAACAGAACATCGAACAGTAGCGATGACAATTGTGCAGGATTTGTACGTATACCTGAGCCATCCGAGTTAAACAAAAGGGAGGCAATAAGACAATTGATAAAAAAGTATGTAACTGATGACGAAGCTGTATACCATTTTATTTTAAAAGAATGTCGCCAAAACATTACGAGTATCAAGGCTAAATATCCAAATACTAACTGGGGGGAATTGAACGTAAACATAAAAGATTCTTTAATATCAAAAACCACTGGCATTATCGTCGAGACAAATGCAGAGTTACACTTTCTGAAAAGCTGTCAACGCTTATGGCCTGTAAGATTCATCTGTCAACAGCATTGGAGCTCAAAATCAAGCAAGTTCAGACGCAACAACAAAAATAATAATAATAGTACTGATGATAACAGTACCACTCCTCCGAATGTTCCCAGTTTAGAAGAAGAGGTATGCTGATATTGATGTTTTTTTATAACTGTCATTGCTTACTATTTTTATTATTTTTACAGCAGAATTAAGCCGATGCATGTAAGAATTTTTCCAAAAAAAAACTGGTCCTTCATTAGCTGGAACATTTTTGGTTTATAAAATGAAAAACAAAATGTGAATAAATGGGAGGGGAAATAGCGATACCATAAAATAAATCCAAAAAATACTACATAAATATAGGACATAAAAGTATCATCATTTACATGAAACTTACGTATACGAAACTATATTGTAAAAAATATGGTAAAATAACGGTAATAAAAAGACATTAAAATTGACACTTTTTACCATATTTCTGAACATAAATTTATTTTCTCAAGGACATAATTTTTACAGAAAAAAGCCATATTTTTTTTTCCTGTGAATAGTTCTCTCAATGGATTAGCTACCCAGAGAAAAAATAGAACAGCTATTAATATAAATGGTTCATTTACGTATATATTGATATAGTTATGCTGCTGATAAAGAGTACAAAAAAATATTGTATGAATTAATGGATACCTAGCTTCTACAACCAAATATACAAATATCGAAATTCCATTCTATATTTGAAATCGTAATTTATTCATTACAAAGATAATGAATAAATGATCAACTATTATGTTCTATTGCCAATTACACTTGACAAACAAGTATGCATCTTTTATAGTAACCGTTGCATGATATGATCAATAAGTGTCTCGTAATACTAAAGATTTATTAGGATACTCATGCTCCCGATTCACTGATATGGGACAACGTTAACTGGAAACAATTCTAACGAGTAGTATTCATTTAACCCAAGTCGGGAAACAAAGTATAGATCTATTCCAAAACCAGAAGGGTTGACTCATCATTAAAACTCAGGAGAGTTATGCAATATAAATAGGATCAATTATTTCATAGCAGCAGAGTTCTTTTAGTCTATTTTTACCTCTAATAAAAATATATTTTTAGGTAATATTTTGTCAAATACCACAAAAATGATTCAAGATATCGTAAGTTAATAATGGAAGCTTTTAAATGATTATGATAAAAGCAATAGTAATCACCAGTTTATTATCTATAGTTATTTAACGAAAGATGAGTATGCGATTCAAGCCTTTACAATTTTAAGAAGCATGAGCTCGTTTAGTACAATGTTTCTTTTACAATTAATGCAACAAGAAGCAAGGTGAGTAGATAGATTATGTATTATTTGTCAATCAATAATAATCCGCATACACTCGCCTCTAACTATTGTTTTTGATGTCCACAACCATGAACAAATAAAAGGTACAACAAGAACACAACAGTACCCCATGGAAACACTTGATAAGCCTGAAGATTCTAGCTCTTCTGAGCAAAGTACAACATCGTCTGAACCCAATAATACTGATATTGTCCTTCCCTCGACCAATAACAGATACAATATTAATTAATTTGACGTATCTTTGGCTTTCTACACCTTCCAATTGATCACAAGTAATAACTTCGATACCATTAATATTGAATCAAACGTCTCACACATGTTGTAAGTATATGGAAAAGATATATATATATATAGGAGAAAAAAAATAGAATTACTAACACCAGTTCATCTCAGGGCTTTGTCATCAATTTTTCTTATCCAACGAGAAAAATGGCATCCAGATCTGATTGGGGTTTTTACAGAAGAAAAATTGAAGGATATTTTCGATGACCAATGCAAGCGTTTCAGCATCAGAAAATACAGTCGCACGTGTATCAACAACATTGATAGTATTTCAAGTTTAATCAACGTAGATTATCATGCATATGAGATAAAAGAATAATTAAAGATATTAATGACTTTTATCTTTCTGTAGAATGTCAAAAATGATCTCATCACAGGAGAAGAAGGCATTGTTCAAGCATACAAATTAGGATTTACACCATCCCCATTATCGATAACAACAACAATAACCGCACCACTCATTAGTACTGATATTGATGTGACTACCCTTGCCACTCCTACTTCCTCAACATTACCAGAACAGCAGCCATCAAATCATTAACAAGCACCAGCATGTCCATTATCACGCCTTCCAAGGAATATTAGCAAGCTTTTGAAATGTGTGGCCAAACTGTAAGTAATTTAATTTTTATTTATTTAATACTGGTGAGGAAGGATAAAAGTTTTAAATAATTTTCGTTCTTTATAGGATCGAAAAGTTGCCCAATCAAGATGTTAAGGAGGATGTCCTAGAATCTGAGTTATGCCAAAGATACATTGATCCTATACTGTCTGGATTATTTGATAATCCAGATAAGGGCATTCTGTTTAGATGGTATGTGTACACGATTGGTTTGTTATTCAAATGATATTGATTATTTTCAATGCTTATAAATAGGACGAGTGTTACAAATGAAGAATCGAAAAAACGGACTTATAACAAAGCAGCGTCCCGACAGTATAATCACCAGCTTGGATGGACTCTATTATGGACCATCGTTAGGATTTGTTGAAGTTAAAAGCGTCAAAAGAAGAAATGATAAGTCTGCAACATCAAACGACCTTGTTCGAATTGGATTATTGACTAAAAATTCTATTGATCGATCAAACGCAAATGGTTGCCTTGGAATACAAGTAATAGGCAAGTATTAAACAGTCAGAAAGTTGAAATTAAATAAACACTTGAAACTTGCATTCTAAACATTATTTGAGGCTTAACAATCAATTTCTTTATTACAAAACTCGTTGCAGATGGAATGTATATCATGTTTGACTTGTACAGCATAAAAGCACCATCATCAAAAAAATCACTTCAAGGATTTGTTGCGTATTTTGACGAACTCTTGTCTATATTGAATATCTTCGATGAGCATTGCCTTACATTCACTTGCGATACCAGTATTCCAGATTCCTGTAAACGAAAGTCTTTATCCCAAGAAGCATTCGATTCCATTTATCAAAACCAAAAAGCAGTAAACGACGATGTTATACATCCTAAAGAGTGGTACCATCTCAACCTCAACCGTACCGAAATCTGCATAAACAAATGTACTGAAATATGGCAAAAAAAAAAAACTTATGAACGTCCCCCACAATAAAACTCCGTTTCATTTTAAAAAAATTAATTTCATGCATTGTAACGTGCCACCAAGCTTAAATCGACCAAAAATTTTAACTTTTTTTACACCCATTTTTATCATCCAAAAATACTTTTTTTAAAAAAATAAAACGTATAGAATTATTATTCAAGACTTTTTAAAGCCGAATCAATTAATACATTTGTCATTTATTTAAAAAAAAAATTCTCTGATAGTCGGCAAAGTGTGTCGGTAATAAAAAATTTAAGCGGGGAAGTATATGTAGGCATAAATTTTTGAAACACGCGTAATTTTTCATGTATATTTTTTAAACTCAGAATAGCCTTTTAACCAATAACATTGTACCAAACCCGTAAATTCATATATTTTTCTTTGAGAGCTATGAACTCGATCAGTTTTTGGTTTAAATGTACAGGAGTACTTTTATATTATTATTATTCAATTAAACAATATTTGTATACGTTTTGTTTTTAAATTTTATTTATAAAAAACTCTTTTTTTTTTACGTTTAGTCAGACGCCTTTTCAATCTAAGAACCCTTGGAATTGGGTTGGGGGAGCAGAGTAGTAAATAAGTGGTGTAACATAAAAAAAATTAATTGAAAGCTATCAAGTCCATCAATTTTATGATCTATGACTTTAAAACAGTTTTAATCTATTTGTATTTTGATTAAGAGTGTTTCTTTACCTTTTGTTTTCAATTTATTATTAAAAACATTGCTCAACGGTAATCAATATGTCGCGCTCTTTTAAAGGTAAGCCGTGAAGCTATTTACGGGAGAGGGGAAAATTTTTCAATTTTTGTAGTCACGCGAGTACAAAATGTTTGAATGCCATGAACTTAGTCAATTTTATGTTCTGTAATTTCGGAAAAGTTTTAAACTGATTATAGTATTATGGGAAACAATTGTATACGATTAGTTTTTTGACTTTGATATTCAAATCGTAATTAATACAAAGACTTAATGCGCCGCTCTTTTAATTTAAGGGAAAAAAAAGAAGCAAATAGAAGGGCCAACCAAATTGACAATGACTCCGCAGTTACCGATCAAATCTGGGTAATATCATAACATGCAATTTTGTGACGCGCTGGTTTACTTCTTTATACTTGTCACTTTGTTATAATTGAATAATGCCTCCACTCAACGCAAGACAACGTGCTTTCAAAAATAGAAAACAATGTGCTGATGGTAAACTTGCTTCCGAACCTATTGTTGAAAACGACTGGGAAGATATTAATGACAATGAAACCGCAATTGATTTGGATGATTTGAGAAGTTTTGCAGAATCACATAATTATCAAAAGACAATCAACAACGCACTGGTTGATAATACCTTGGCTGGAAACAGACCAAAAACGTATCAAGGCACCTCTAGAACATCGGTTTGGAGAAACAAGAAGGAACTTAAAGCTGTTGATATCAAACAAAAATTAATCAGCTTTGGTTTTGTCCCTGTTACTGTTGCTCCAAACACCGCCAATCCTGTTTTAAGCCGCAGCCAAAAGGAGATAATCAACATCCACAAGATGTTAGATAAATTACAGGAGTTTATTAAACCTGTAATGAATTTGAAATCAGAAGACAGCAAGATTTTAGCTTATAATTTTGTACGTTACTCATCAATCAACCTTTATTTTCTTAAAAGACTTGAAGGATTAAACGTTGGAGACGCTTCAGCTGATGCTGCTCGGTGTTTTTGGAGACATAATTATCAGCCGTATCGTGCTAAGACTATTGTTAAGTGGGCTAAGGAGTTTTTGCGCGATCATAAGCTTTCTGATCATTCCCAAGGCAAACACAGCAAAAGAAAGTGTTTTCTTAACGATTCTGACGTAAAGACCATGGTTCTCGAAGAAATTCGAAAGACCAAGCCAGCCGAACGGTCATTAGTTGTTATCAAAAAGTATATTGAAGATGTAGTTGTTCCGTCTCTTTTGGGTGTTGCCAACCGAACCGTTTCTGAAACAACAATCAGCAAGTACTTATACGAATGGGGATATTCATATAGAAAGAACAAAAAAATGATATACTTTGATGGTCATGAACGTGAAGATGTGGTAGCATACCGTGAAGTATGGTCAAGACGTATGATGAAGTATATGGAAAAGATGGACTTCTATGCTGGTGACAACGAAGAGAATATTCTCGAGCCTTCCTTGGAAGAAGGTGAAAAAAAAATTGTATTTGTGACACAAGATGAAAGCACCTTCTACGCCAATGATGGAAAAAATGATCTTTGGCTCGAGGATGGTGAAAACCACATTCGTAAGAAGGGACCTGGATCTTCCATTATGATCAGTGAGTTTCAGTGTCCCTGTCATGGTACGATGAAAATCAAAAATTGGACTTCCAGGACAATCTTCAAGGCTGGAGATAGCAGAGAAGGTTGGTGGACCTACAAGCATATGGTTGAACAGCTTGAGGAGAATGTGATTGGCCTTTTTGATGCACTGCATCCGGATTGTACTGCTGTTTTTCTGTTTGACAATAGCTCAAACCACGGAGCATATTCCGATGAAGCTCTTGTGGTTAACAGAATGACCTTGAACGAAAAGGTTTGGCCGGTCACTAACAAGTATCAGTTTCACGATACCGTTGTCACTTTGACAAATGGTGAGGTTCTTGAACAGTCCTTTTTTTACGAGGCTGTTACAAAAACTACCAGCAAAAAAAACAGTACCAAAACCAAGACAGTACGCTACTTTAAAGGAATTAAAAAAATTTTGCAGGAGAGAAGACAATGGATCGGCCATGACATCGAAGGCAAAGCTTGGAAGTTGGATTGTGGATCTCCAGTCATAGCACCCAGCAAGATTTGTTGTGCTCGTCATTTCTTGGGATCTCGCCCGGATTTCTGTAACCAGAAGTCAGCCCTTCAAGAAGTAGTAGAGGATGCGGGGCACATCTTTGAGCTATATCCAAAGTACCACTGTGAGTGTAATTGGATTGAAATGTATTGGGGCGGAGCAAAGCGGGAGGCTCGCCTTAAATGCGATTACACTTTCAAGTCTTTGGAACAAAATATAGACTCTTTCTTGGACAAGGCTGGTGGAATTGCTCGTATCAGAAGATACTTTAGACGAGCAACAGAATATATCGAAGCATACAGTAAATGTAGAGACGGCCGTGAGGTGGTACAAGCAGTCAAAAAATTTGCTGAAAAGAAGTACCTTTCGCACAGAAAAATTAGAATCCCTGCGGATTTAGACCGCGAATAAAAACTATTTTTAACTTTTTTTTTCTATATATATATAATAAGTAGACTTCAAATGCTTTACTTTATTTTTGTTCTGTCTAATGTCGAGGGGGGAGGACTATGGTAAAAAAAAAAAAAAAAAAAAAAAAAAAAAAAACGCAGGATCAACATTGCAATTGCGAAAAAAAAATTTTGAAACAATTTCAAAATTTGGTCGATTTAAGCTTGGTGGCACGTTAGTTAACATGTAAACCATCCTACGAACTCATTCGCTTATAAGAAGTGTATCCCATAACAGTCATAAAGAGTTTCGAGCTATTTGTTATTAAAAATTAAAAAAGAAAGTATGGAAATCTAATAATGGGTAATGTGTCTGCCAAATCACATAGCGTATACGTAATAAAAGTAGATGTAATTGACATACATGGAAATAGTCTGTATCACAGATTTATCGCTAAATAAAGTAACAAGATCCAGTGACATTGAAAGGATCTAAATATACCCATTCCGACGTAAGAACACAAACTTGACTTGTGTATTCGACAGTCAAAGAAGAAATTTATTGATGACTAATTACTGTCAAATATGAAATTAGTTTTCAGCTGTCATGTAGTATAAATAGACCCCAAAATATCATCTTAACATCTTGGTCAATAAATTTTTAAAGGAATTCTAAACGTACTTATGTACTTTGTTTTATTTTTTATTTTATTTTTTATTTTATTAAATCACACTACAGGTTTATTACAATGTGTCCACTGGCTTTTATGACGGCCTTGAATCTGTCTGGCATTGATCTTTGACCATTCATCTTTTATAACGGCTTCAAGCCGTTCCATAGAGATAATCTGGTTTACGAGATTATATACCCTCCTTTTGAAGTGTGCCCATACACGCTCAACGGGGTTGAGATCAGGGCTATTGGGAGGCCAGAAGTCAAAACCATCAATCATTATTATTTCTTTGTAACTACCTGTATGACTAGTAGCGTTATCTTCTTGATAAAAAAAGTCATGCCCAGTTGTCTTACTTTCTTTTTCTAGCCAAGGAAGCAAATAGTTTTCCAAACAGCTGACATACGTTTATTGATTGATACTGCTGTTGTATATCAACTTAATTCAATAAAGTAAAATATAAAAATAAAGAAAATGTGGTGATCTGCTATATTGTTGCTACATTAAATAAACCTATATCTATGACATCAATACATTAACGGCCCTCACAAGCAACAAAATTATTTTTTTAAAGATCCCGATTAAGGACTTTATTATTTTTTTTTTTTTTTGTGAAAGGTTACTTCAGACTTCCAAAAGAAAGCTTTTTCCAAAATCCATGACGTTGCTTTTTAATGACCCTTTTTGAACGATTAAAATATAAAGTTCACTCAAAATGCTAACCTATCTGTTATTATTTTTCAAGGACTCTATTGTTTTGATATACTTTTTATTTCTAGAGATAACAAAATGAACCTATCTCAAACTGTTACAGTAGTTGCTGAATCGCAATAAATTTTATTTGGACTTGATTATGGAATCAGACATTTCCACACTTTACCGACAACAAAGTCTCCACTACAGTTTTATTGCATTCTCGATGTTACATGTTGCATCAGATCGTGAAACTCCCAGTGTTGAAGAGGTGCACTACCAGTAGAATTAGCATCGTCTCGTCTGGTTCTGAACGTATCACAGAGGCGAATCCACTTGTTATTCATCGCTGCAAAGTCCCTTCTACGGTTGATAGCGTCACTGGCATTAAAAGCATCTTCCGTTGCCTTGTTCGAATTCAGCTTTGTTTGAGGTG